CCCCAAAACCCCAAAACCCCAAAACCCCATCGAGTCAACAATGCTAAAAATTGTTGCAACATTTAGAGTAAATTTGCTAATTATATTGGTAATTTCTAGAAATCTAGTTATCAGTAGCAGGAGTAGAGCAACTAATTAACATTTTCTAATACTTAAAATCAGTCTTTTCATCTTTATATCATAAAGTAAACTATATATGCTAAAAAAATAACAACACAACTCAGCGCTATCAGACTCGCTACTTTTTAAGTCCAAGAAACAAATTATGCAGAAAAAGGTTGTTCAACTCAATCCGTTTAACAATAAGAAAAATGCTCAATTAAAAAAGCTTGCAAATGAATACTATATCAGAGTAGTGAGATACATACCATTTTAACTATAAATGACTAAATTGGCATCGCTTAATAAGGAGACTAGAAAACTAGTGTTTGAAAGCTATGAAGTTCTAAGTAAAGAGCGATCTATCACAGTTGACCTTAGTTCAACTACCAAGATCCTTAAGAAGCTGCCTAAGTATATAGCACTGAGACTGAACTACATAGGTGTAGTAATGAGGTAAGATGCAAGAGTAGATAGAATCAATAGACTCTTAGAGTTCTTCAAGCCTTACAGAGGCCGCATGAGACTTATGCTTGAACTTAATGGTATGGATGATAGCGATAGAGAAATTAGAGAAGCACTTAAGAAATTTCGAAATATCCCGATTAGGAGACTAGTTATTAAGAAATGCAATTTCTAAGAGAAAAATACTCAGAGCTTGCTGCTACAAGACTGTATTTAATTATACATCATAGACTCATTTATAAAATTCTGGATCAAAGATAAGATCAAAGTCAACGAAATCGTTGTTAAAAAGTCTACTATTATTTATGGGAAGTGCAGTGTTCCTGTATTCCCAGCAGCTAAGAGATTCATCTGTAGGAATTCTTTTATCAAGAATCCTGAGTTCGCTTGGCGACCGATTACTGACTCTGTAGAAGAGTTGGTGCTCCTAGGAAATGATTATTATGGAGTCCTTAACTTCAACATCGTTTATCATGTGGTCTTCTACATGAAGAAGTTTTGTAATTTGAAAATACTTGAGTTCGAAGGCTAAGTTGATGAAGAGACATTTATAAAGCTATTAATTAACATGCATCACTACAAATAATTAACAAAAATGAAGTTCATTAACAAGGGAGCATTTTTCAATCTAAAGATGGTCATGAATAATAGCGAGATATAGGAGATGAAAGTGCTGGAAAAACCCCTATAGATAATAAAAGTCACTGACGACACTAGCAAGATTGTAGTGAAGTTTCAGCTTCCAAATGAAACGCTTGTTAGAAATATAGATTTCACTTTCCTAAATTATTGATAGATAGGAATAATTACAATAA